TTTTTGTCTGCTCTAAGATTGTCGGTTCTGTTTCCGCTTTGTAAGTTTTGTTCAGTGGCTAGTTGAAAATTCAAATGTCTTTTTGGCACTTTTGTCTAGTTTCCTGTTTGAGAAAAAAACGTGTTATGAAAGTGTATGGGATGGGGTTTCTTATTTGAATGTTTTTGAGACGCGTTGGAAAATAGTTTGCCTTTCGTAGACATTTTCTTCCTTTTTAAAAAAAGGTTTCAATCAAAAGAGCCCCCCCCCATGTGCTTGCACGCTCCCCAAAAAATACCCTCCCAAATCTGAGATTTCGATTTCAATGATTAGAGCGGATTTGAAAAGCTCTCCTGCATCAGCGGATACGCTTGATTTATTTTAAAACTATGGACCCTTGAAATAGTCAAATTTTTGATTTTTTGACAGTTTTGAAAAAATCTTGTTAGCATATATCGAAAACTAACTTTTGCAGATCTGAGATTGTGGGTGCCATTCAGATAGCGGGTAGTGGGAAGATCCCTCAATTTTGCTCTCGGAAAAGTCAATTTTTTCCCTTTTTGACTGTTTTTGTAAACTTTTTTGGCGTCAATCGAAATAACATTTCGGGTGAATTGCTTTTGACTTTTTTTGGACTTCTCCCAAAACTATCCTTCCAAATCTGATATCATAGATAATCGAAAAGAAAGGTTGTTGAAAGTGTTCTTTTATAACTCGCTACGCCCATCTTTGAAATAAGCTATGGCCTTCTATCAAGTCACAATTTTGAAACTTTAACCGTCTTTTTGGAAATTTTTTGACGTTTCTCGAAAACTACGGTGCCATTTTTAAGGTTAAGTTTTCTACCGAGAAGCCCCCTTTTGTGAGTTTTTGTTCTTTAAGCGGCCACGACCTGGTTTTTGTGGAAAAAAATGGATTCTGGAAAATTGGATTTTGGAAAATTTTGATTTTTTTACTGTTGTTAAGAAAGTTTTCGAGTTTTCTTAAACTACCCTATCAAATCTGAGATGAAAAATTCAATCGATTGGGTGAATTTTTACTGCAGAATTGTTGACCTGTATTTTTTGTAAGAGATGTTATGTCCTCGGAAAATTCAATTATCTCAAAATTGTTCACTCTTCTCATTTAAGTAGAGAAACAAAGGTTCTGTGCAAATTTGTGAACCCAGGTTTTTCGTCCTGCAATCAGTGTAGCGAATTTAAAAAGTTTCAAGCACAAAAACCAAGTTTAACTGGGCCCCTTGTTGTTTTGTCGGGACATATGAAAATTTTGGTTCACCTAGTTTTTTGTTTCAGCTTTTTTCTTTTTTTTGTTGTATGCTTGTGTTGTACCGCAAGTGGTGTGAAGCTCCAATTCTCTTCTGTGTTACTCTTGCGATTACAAAATTGTTGCAACGGGGTACTAGACCTTTTCCCCGTAAAGAACTTCGTTCACAAGACTCACGTGTTGTCTCCTGGTGGTCCACTCTGTTGGAAATACTGCGCGAGACACATTTTGAGCATGCTAGCACTTGAAATATCCGCCCTATTGGAAAGTTGAGTTACCTGTTGGTTTAGTGGCCTCATTTTGCTTCGTTTGATGAGAAATTTTGTGTCTGCGTGTGTGTGTTGAAGGATCGGGGAGTTTTGAGGGGTCGGGAATTTTAGAAAATAGTTTCGAGTTTTTTCGGGTGAAAGGGTTTGACTTTGCTTGGTAAGTTTTTTTCCGATGCTAGTTTCATATTTCATTATCTGGGCATGTTTTTTGAAATTTTCGATTTTTTTGTTTTGACTTTGTGGTTTTCTTGTTTTGTGTCGTGGTGAGAAGCTCCGCATCGCCTCCCCGTATAATTTTTTCTTCGATAGTTTCGAAAGTTGAAAATTGTTCAAATTTTTTTCCAATCTGTCTTTTTTTCGGTGTGTTTGAGCTCTTTTACACTTGTTTACACTCTGAGCTCTGTTGGCTATGTTTGAAAAGTGTTGGCCTAATAATTGCGTTTTTTTTGGCGTGCGCTCCTCAAAAATAGTATACTGGCGCCGAGGGAGGCGAGAAAATTTATATTTGACCTTGAACTGATCGATAATGAACATCCAAAATTCTTAATCTGTCTATGGTCGAGTGCGTGTGACATGTATCTTGCCATGCTTAAGCGTTTTTTTTGCAACAGTTAAGGTCATAACGTATCTATGCGTGGTTGAGCTATATCGTATATTGCAATGCCTAAGAATTTTTTTGATTTTCAAGTTTGAATCTAGTGTTTGTTTTAACAATTTGAAAGTAAAAGTTAGTAACACAATAGTGTGCTGCTGTCAGAGTTCCCCCAGGGGTTGCGAATGACCAAATCCTTTTAGTGTACGAGATACGACGATTTTTTTTTAAAAAAGTTTTCGGAAAGTTCAATTTACAAAATTTTAAACTCCCAACCCTATATTTGGGTGCTGTCAGAGTACTCTCAAGGATTGCGAATCTTGCCTCCAAATATGATTGCTCAAATTCTTGTAATTTTTGAGATACGACGTGTTTTATGATTTCTTTTTTTAATTTTTCAGAAAACTTAGAATTTCAAAAACTCAAAGATTTGAATTTCCTACTCTTATAGTTAGGTACTGTGAGGGTACTCTCAGGAGTTTCAAGATCAAAATCTAGCGTCCAAATGAGAATGCTAAAATGCTCTTAGTTTTTGAGATATGACGTTTTTTTGTGATTTTTCAAAAAACTGTCAACTTAAATTCAATGCTTTTTGAAATTTTGAAATTCCCATCCCTATATTTGGAAGCTATCAGAGAACTCTAGGGGGGTTGTGAATCTAGCCTTAAAATTTGACTTTATTTGTTTAATTTTCGAGATATGACGTTTTTTGTGATTTTTCAAAAAAATTTCAGGAAACTTAAATTTAAATTTTATTTTGATTTTTGAAATTCCCTTCCTTGTAATGGAGGGCTCCCAGAATAATCTCCGGGGCTTCGAATTTTACATGCAAATATGACCGCTCAAATCCAGCAAACTTAAGTTTTTTTATTTTTTAATTGAAGTTTGAAGACCCGTTCCTTTTAATGGGGGACTGTCAGAGTATTTTCAGAGATTGCAAATCTTGCCTCCAAATATGACTGCTCAATTCGTTGTAGTTTTTGAGAATGACATTTTTTGCGATTTTTTAGTTGGGGGCTGTCAGAATACTCGAGTGGATTGCGAATCTTGCCTCCAAATATGATTGCTCAAATTCTTGTAATTTTCGAGATACGACGTGTTTTATGATTTCTTTTTAATTTTTCAGAAATTTTAGAATTTCAAAGATTTGAAATTCCTACTCTTATAGTTAGGTACTGTGAGGGTACTCTCAGGAGTTTCAAGATCAAAATCTAGCGTCGAAATGAGAATGCTAAAATGGTCTTAGTTTTTGAGATATGACGGTTTTTTTTGTGATTTTTCAAAAAACGGTCAACTTAAATTCAATGCTTTTTGAAATTTTGAAATTCCCATCCCTATATTTGGAAGCTATCAGAGAACTCTAGGGGGGTTGTGAATCTAGCCTTAAAATTTGACTTTATTTGTTTAATTTTTGAGATATGACGTTTTTTGTGATTTTTCAAAAAAATTTCAGGAAACTTAAATTTAATTTTTTTTGTTGAAATTCCCTTCCTTGTAATGGAGGGCTCCCAGAATAATCTCCGGGGCTTCGAATTTTACATGCAAATATGACTGCTCAAATCCAGCAACCTTAAGTTTTTTTGATTTTTAATTGAAGTTTGAAGACCCGTTCCTTTTAATGGGGGACTGTCAGAGTATTTTCAGAGATTGCAAATCTTGCCTCCAAATATGACTGCTCAATTCGTTGTAGTTTTTGAGAATGACATTTTTTGCGATTTTTTAGTTGGGGGCTGTCAGAATAATCGAGGAGATTGCGAATCTCGCCTCCATATACGACTGCTTAAGTCTTTTGTTCTTTTATGTGATGTTTTTATGGCTTTTCAATTTTTTGTTCTCAAATTTTGAAATTCCTAACCCTGTAGTTGGGTACTGTGAGAGTATTCTCAGGAGTTGCAAGTTTTGCGTCCAAATGCGGCTGCTCAACTTCTTTTAGTTTCAAAGATGTGACATTTCTAATGTCATTTTAAAATTTTTCAAAACACGTAGATATAAAAAAAGTTCACAAAATTTAATGGTTTTTCAAAATTTGAATTAAAAAACTCATAGAAAAAAAACTTAGCAAATTTTAAAATTACGAACCCTGTTATTGGGTGCTGTCAGAGTACACTCAAAGGTTGCAGGTCTTTTTTCAATATATGCGGTTTTTTATGAGTTCTCAAAAATTCGAAGCACCGGAGATGCGTTACACGCTAGTTTCTTTTGAATTGCAGAATTTTTCTACCGGCTTGCGTTTCTTCAGTTAAACTTTCAAACCGCCAACGTTAGATTTATTTTTTTTGTGGCCAGTGAGAGATTTTTGTGCTCTTTTCGGTTCAGGTGCTACCATTAATTGCTGATTTGACAAAGAGAAAGGATAAATTTTACCTAACGTTGAGCTCATTTGAAAAAATGTATTAGCATAAAGAGCTTTTTGTTGTCGCCTCTGTTTCTGTTACTTGCCACCATCGCTGTGGTTTCAAGGCTTAAATTGTATGGAATTTGTATTACTTTGCATGCAATTATTGAAGCCCTCTCTTGCTGTATTTGGTCAGTCACAAAGCAGTCAAACAAAGCTTGTTTTGCAACGAAATTGTAGCAACTATTGTATGTTTATACTTGAATATCAAATGCAAAGATATGGTAAGTTGGACATCAGAAATTAAAAGAATTCAAACTGCTTTCAGTATAATGTAAGTTGGCCTGTATTTTAGTAAATTTTCACTAATAATACTATTGTCTTGCTTTTTGTGCATAATCTATTGGCCATTCATTTGTGATATTCTTCAATTTTTTGGGCATATTTTATTGCGAGGTTTTTAAAAATTACCGTTTCTGGTGGAAAAAAGATTTCGTTGAAACTCTGTGGCCACAATGTGAGTGAATTCTGAGTGGGTTGAAACGGTATAAGTAAAAACATACTTACCTGCCTTCGGGCGTCCTCTGATCAAGCAGAGAGGTGCCCCAGGGCGAGGCCTCTGCATTGCACTGCGCTGAGGTTGACCCCTGCGATTTCTTCAAAGTGAGAAACTCGGGAGGACAATTTATTAGTGTGGGGACTGCGTTCGCGCTATCCCTAAAAATTTTGAACTATCCTATTTCGCTCTGAAATTTTTAGTGAATTTTGACTCAATTGCTAATTAGCTAAGTTTTCTGCTGAATATCAGCCGTTTTTAAATCAAATAACTAATTCGTTTTTTCAGTTAATCATGGCAACACCTCTGGATGACGAAGGGGTGTTCAAAACACCGGCGCCGCCACCTCTCAGGAAAGCCTCAACTTCATTATCATCGTTCTCAATGATACAGAAGGCAGGACCAAGTTTGCTACAACCAGTTGGGTCTCCTCTTTCCCTTGGAATCTCTGGTCCTAATACTCCTCAGTCGGAACTATCTGATTGTTCTTACTTACAATTGCAAGGAGTCCCTGAGAACAGCCGATACTTCTGCACAGCCTCGGCGATTGATGTTAATGTGGCTTACCAGGTTTGTATAGTGAATGCTAAGTTGGAGTCTTTTCTGCTATACGACTGAAACTTATCAAGCTGCTGATTCAGCTACTGTTTTTATTGAAAACCTAGATTGTTTTTCGCTCATATTAATTTCAACAAATGTGGGAAAATTTCATCAAATTTTGTAAAATATCAGTTTTTGGGCCGTATGAAAGAAAAACCATTAATATCGTATCTGAAAGAAATTCAATGGCCCTAGATTGCTCATTTTATCAGCTGAATTATTTCGTATTTCTTTTCGAAGAATTACAGCTGATCTAAATTATCCTGACTAAAAGAACTAAGTTGGAATTTTTGAACCAGTTTTTGCAAATGGGGTTGACATAAGTCAAAAGATATGAAAAAACGTTGCTACGTTGCTAATAATATTACCAGAATTAATATGGTGCAATGTATTTTCAGTCCCAAAAATTATAACATGAAAATAATTTTTTTTGTTCTCCAACAAAATATATCCGTTTGGGCAAAGTTAAAGATATAGTACTTTTTTAAATTCCGGCGGGGCTTTATGAGAGGCTCTTTTTCAGGGGATGACTTGAAGGGGAGGCGGACCCCCTGCCGACCCAAAAGATCCCCCCTTTGTACTATTTTGAGATATCCATTTTTGGCAGACGGACCTGAAAAGATTTTTGAGAGGGGAGCGCGCGCCGAAATAACGCAATTTTTTGGTCAAAATTTTCCAAAAAGTGCCTAAAAACGCCTTTTTGGCCTGTTTTTAAAAAATTTGCCTGCGGCATCAAAAAGACCTGCTCTTTTTGATACAATTGCTAAACATTTACGGTAGTTTTATCTCAATTTTTGACGACGTTAAGCAGTCGAAAATGAACGATTTTTTGAGTCAAACTTTGGGCCGGAGTTTTCGAAATTGAATTTCATAATATTATTTCTGGTAAACTTTTGAGCGCTTTCGTCATTTTTTTTGTGTTATCTCATATTTGAGAAAAACGCGCTTCAGTTCTCCGTTTCTCTTTGTTTTGTCCGGATACTTTGAATCAGCCTTGTAGCTTCGAATCTAATAAGAAGCATGTGGAGTCGCCTGCCGATGTTTTTTAATTGAGCCGAAGCTGGCGTAGAGCATTATGATCAGACGCTGCACCAAAGTCAAAATTTTTTGATAACACAAATGCTCGTGTTTTAATATGAGTTTTTTCCAACTGAAGTCGCTTTTTTAAAGTTTTCTATTTTAACTTCGTTTGAAAACGATGTTGTAGTAAGAGATTTATCGGCTTTAATATATCACATTCGTTGCTAACTGTTTTTGTTCTCAATCAGGAACGAGAATGTTTCATAATCTGGAGGTATTGCGAATCCTCTAAATTGTGTATTTTCTACCCTTGCGATTAGCAACGGTAATGCAAACGGGCCCTAGAATGTTTTCACTTTAAAAACTTTGTTCTCAGAATTCATCGATTTACTTTTACTTTATCATATCAAATAATTGCTCATGCGGAGGAGTCAGTTCTGGAGCTCGAATCAGGCCATGATGCTTTTAACGAAAATAGAAACCTGCTCGGAAAATTTCAGTTGTCGGGCTATTGCTTGTCTGCGTATTTTTGTCGGCTAAGTTTTCACAGCATGGACTTTCTTCTGCTTTAAGCAACGCTTATTATAAGGGAAAGTCAATTTGATTGATTCGTGAAATGATGTGAGTCTTTGGGTTCAAGAAATTTTGCCTAGTTTTATTATTTTCTTCGAATTAGGATTTTTTGAATTGTCATCCATCAATTGTTACAAGAAATCAATGAATTATGTCCTAAACTATATGATATTATCATTTAATCTGATAGCAATATTTTCAGAGGAAAATCCGTGGTCCTTCTGATCCACAAATTATTGCATCGCTCTTGCAAATGAGTTTTCATGATTTCAAAATTTTTGATCACAGGATAACTGAAATTGTGGTAATTTCTTCTTTCTTCAACGAACATAAAGATGGATAAATGACAATTTTTGATCATGTTTGCATTTTAAATGCCCGTTTTATTTAATTTTTTTTAAAGTTGGTTTTTTAATTACAATATATCAGATTTAATGTTCGTTTTTTTTCTGCCTAATCGGCTTTAATAGGTTTGGGCTTAAAATATATCGGCGTAGAGGGCTTTTTTGAGAGGTCTGAGGATCAAATAATTTTCATGAGTGTTTTGAGGGGGGACTTGAGAACTTTATGATTTTTGTAGTTTTTTTATATTTTTTTTTGCGCAAAAAATGTCGGCTCTGTTACTGCTTTAAAAGTTTTTTTTTCGGTGCTTCTTTACATTCAATTTCCTTAATTTGGCATATTTTTTGATAAGATTTTTTTTTTTCAAAACGACATCAAGACAAATTAAGAAAAAATTTTGGATCAGTTTTTTAGACTTTTTTTCCACGACTTTCATCGCTAATTTTTTGTCGGTTAGTTTTTCTTGTTATCTATGGGTTTTATTGCATATAGCGCGATGCTCTGCGTCTCTTTGTAAAATTTCTAAAGGTGCAATTATTTCAGCTTCAATGCTTCGGATATTTTAGCAAATTGGGATATAGACTTCTTATTCCGACCACTGAAAGGTGTATTTTAGTTTTTTCTTCTTTTTTCTTTTAAAATTTTTTTTTGCATAGCAAACGGTTATACTTGTTGTTCCGACTATTGAAAATGGGGAGGAACGTTGTATTGAGTGTGGAGTAGATTTTTGTTTTCTACGCAAAATCAGGTATGAATGATTTCGGCGTTGAATGAAAAGCATATTTTATTCGGGCTTATTATTCAAAATAATACTAGACTAAGAGGTAGAGGTCGGTAACTAACGAATAGGGTATAAGTAGATATGAAATTGGCGTTGAATGAAAAGCTTATTTTATTCGGGCTTATTATTCAAAATTAGTACAAGACTAAGAGGAATCTAAGTGTTGTAGATTGTTTTCTACGCAAACTCAGCTACCACAAATAATCATTGGAATGGGTCGATTGATATATCAAATCAAAGCTTTTTCAGTCTTGAGTCGAACGCCATTATTTTTTTTTGAAAAGTAGTCTGTGTCGAGAAAAACCGGTTTTGATTTTTTCTGTTTTTTGTCCTATTTCGAGCAAGTAAGCAATCTTATTATTGAAAGATGAGCCTTGAATTTTTAGTACTGCTACAGCAAATTTAGTTTTTGTTTAAAGTTTTTAGCGCCATTTCTGCAACATAAAAAAATGGAAAAAATACGAATATTTTTTGATTTCTTAGTTTGTTTTTGTTTTTCTCCATTTTTTGACTCGTCGCTGTCGAAAATGCTTAAATTTAAGGTTTTCAGATCCTTTCATCACACCATGCCCAAAAAACTAAACAAATTTTTAAAAAGCAATGCAAGAATTGTTTTGTTTTATTAAAGAATGCAGTCAGAACATTCTGTGCTACTTAACCAGCAACCGGTTATCCTTGTTTCACTTTCTTGAGCAAGTAAAACGTAATCGGGAACTAGATTTTTTTCTGTAAACGATTTTCTTACACGTCTGTTTCTGCTTCATATCTGCTGATATGATAAATTTCTTGAAAGTTCAAATAAAACTACTTCGTTAATTTGAGGTGGTCTATAATATTTCACATTTTTTTTCGGATTTTAGGGTTTCGATTAAATTTCTGGCCTCTGATTTATCTTTTCTTTTCAAATGAAGCTTATATAATCTTCGGTTTTTGAGAAGTTTCCTTCCAAAGCCTGGTGTTTTTAGTTTTTGATTCGCACAGTTCCTTTTGATAAAAAGTATGATGAAATTGTGTGGAATTTGCTTCTTTTCAACTTTTTTTGAACCGATTTGAAAAACTTTTTCGTTTCTCTCAAAAATTTCATTTAAAACAAAAAACTATTTTAACGACTGGTTTCAGTAAACGTCCCTTCTCCTGTCGCTTGCATAATTCCATAATCTTTCCAGCTTAAAATTCCCACTTTCTGTAGCCTTCGAAAAATTGTGTTCGGAATTTTGGACCCATTTTTTCTCGATAACTAACCACCTAAATCTGAGTATTTCTTTTAGTCAAAAGCGAGAGTTGTATGATGCTTCCCTGCATCAGCGGCTATACCCAAATTTTTGTCTCTAAAAGTTAAATTGTGGTTTTCAGAAAAGTGTGGTATGGCATTTGCTCCTTTTATTTTTTGGATTAATTTTGAAACTACGGAAACGAATGTCGAAAAAGACGGCCGACTACCCTGCCTGCTTGCATAATCCCTTAGTCTATTTCTACCGTATCTCACTTCCTACAGCCCTCGAAAAATTGTGTGGTAGTATTTTTCCACCCACATTTTTGGAGTTATTTACTCTTTAACTACCCCCCCCCCCAAATCTGAGGTTATGGGCTCAATCGAAAGCATGGGGGGTTGGGGGAAGCGCCCCTGCATAAGCGGCTATGCACAAATTTTTTTCTCTGAAAGTTATAGCACTCAGAAGATTCATTTAAATTTTTCGACCGAGATTTTGACATCAATCGAAAGAACAAGTTTTGGAGGAAAACTCCCGTGCATATGCAACTACGCCCAAAAATTCTTACACAACAAGTTAAGGCCCTCGGAAAAAGGCAATTTTTGGATTTTTTGAACATTTTTTGGAATATTTTTGGTGCTTCTCTAAAACTACTCTCCCAAACCTTAGTTTATAGTTTATATAGAGAAAATGGGATGTGAGAAGCTCCCCTACATGGGCAGATATAACCCCTAAATTTGCTTAGAAAACAAGTTTAGGGCTCTTGGAAATAACTTTGACCGTTTTTTGAAACTTTGATTTGTCTCGAAAACTACCCTGCCAGTTCTAATTTAATGGTCCAATCGAACAAACAAATTGTGGACTTCTTCGCTGCATACTCCGTGTGCCCTCTTTTTGGAGAAAAAAGTATAACACTCGGAAACGTCAAATTTGATTTCTGGACTTCTTAAAAACTATTCTACCAAATGTGAGATTAAAGATTAAATCGAATTAAGTGGCTGTGAAATGTTTTCCAGCAAAAGCATCGACATTTCTCTTTGTGTAAGAAAACATGTAATGTTCAGTTTCTGCCGTTTTCTAAATGTTTGCAAAATTTTTAACTTCTGGGAAATTGCCCTGACAAATCTGAGATTTAGAGCTCAATCGAAAAGACAGTTTATGGTAAATATGGCTTCGCAGTCACGACATAGAACAGGTCGCGGGAAAAGTCCACTATCCTGTCTTATTTCATTTTGAGTTCATTCCTAATAACGTGTACTAGGTATTTTGCCTACACTACGGCCAATCACTTACTTAAGTAGAGAAACAACAAAGGTTTTAGGCTTTGAAAATAACGCATCAGTAAAAGATGTTTTTAAAAGACATCAAGCATGACCTCCAGCTTCAGCTAGGTCTCTAGTTTTAACTTTTTTCGAAGGTTTTTCTGTAGTTTAAGTTACGAACTCAGATTTTCAAAGTTTTATTATATTTTTTTGATTGAGTGGGTTCGGCTTATGTTTTATTGTCTTAGCATAATTTAAATTGACGATTTTTTAAATGCTTTTGCTTTTTTCACGAATGGATCTTGAGAATTTGATTATTAAAATTTTATAGCTTGAATTTTTATAATAACAGTTTCGTTTTCGGCCTAAATGAGGGTCGACCCAATTTTTTTTGCCTTATTGATTGATTCTCAAGGTTTTTAAAGGCTGTTTAAAAAATCAACCTTGCCGAAGACATGAAACTTGCAGTGTTTTTGACTTATTTTATCAGCTTAATTTTCAAAAGCATGACTTCCTTCTTTTTTCTATCATTTCTCTATCATTGTCTTATAATGCAATGATTTTATTGTTTCGCAAGTGTTGCGATGCTCAGCTTCGCCTCTGTGTTTAAATTGTTTCCTTTAGTTTTAAGTTCAGTGGTTTGTTAATTTATTACATGATCTTCTGCTCAGGAGCATCTGAAGGAAACGTTAAATCGAATCGAGATGAACTTGATCGAGAACCGATATCGTCAACAGGAGATCATAGAGAAACTCCTTAAATTAGAGTTAGACCAAGAAGAAGAACCTCAACGTAAAATACTCACCCCCTACCTCATAAAAGCACCCTTCTTCAAAAGCAAATCGTACCCTGGTGGTCCCCCACCCAACCCAGAAGCTCTCAGGATCCAACAGGAGGATATGCAGAGACCCCACGTGACGGTTCTAAAGCGTCTTGACTGGACGGCATCGGTAAGTTAAAGAAGAAAAGGAGTAATTTCTCGCTGTTACATATTTTTAATCAGATGAAAGAAGAGTAAATTCATTAGTATTAAAGAGCGGATAGCTCAATGGTTCAAAAAGGTTGCCAAGGGCTGTCCTGAGTTTGTATGAATCAGTTAAGGTACAACAGAAGAAAATTCAGATTAAAAATAATGAATTATAAATGCATCATGGATAGTAAATGCAATACTAAAATTTAAAAGTTAAACGCAGTGTATACTCCTAGGGAGAAAGTGTGGGTGTTTTTTGCTCCCTGAAATTACAAAAAATATCAGTTTCATGATATAAGCAGTTGTTTTTCCGCGGTTTTGTGCAAAAATTAAACAGAATATCTTGGTCACACGCCGAATTTCATTTCAATCGGACAATGAGAACACAAAGTTTTACCTGCTACTTTTTGTAAGCAGCTGCAAGGAATGGAGACGGGAACGGATAGCCGTACGGGTTTTTATTCACTCAAATTGTTCAGTCCTCCACAAAAAACACCGCCTTTCTTTGTACCATACTTTAATGCCATGTTTAAGCTAAAAGGTTGCTTGAAGCGATGTCCACGAATCACATTAGAGGCGTTGAGACTAGAAGCTCTGAATTGAAAGGCATAGAAATCAGCTTCATCCCAAATCTACCCTGCTCTTATGGAAATATATTTGAACTAGCGAGGATTTTTTGCTCGACTTATCAGAGAAGGATATCGTTAAATTTTCCTCATGGTGCTAAGTTTGAAAGTTCTTTTTCAGGACCGAAGAATTCTTTTCAACGGTGTCAAGCAGCAATGTCTCAGCATGGTAATGAAGCCATTTATTGATAAACAAAGCACAATCTCTCACAAATTAGACTCCTTAAATCCATACGAGTTAGACAGCCGACGTGTATTAGCCGAGGAGCTCAACCTATCGGAACTCGAGGTGAGAAGACTGAAAGAAAATCCGCCGAAAGACGAGGAATTATTCGGAAGTCGGAAAAGATGTGATATAGATTGGGTGTATATTTCGCTGCATTTGTTTAATAACCAACGCGATCCAGACGATTGCAAACTCCAATGGCAGAATTTTCTTCATCCAGGAGTTAATAAAGAACATTGGTCGCCTGATGAATCGAGAAAAATGCTGCAAACAGTAGCGAAACATCAGGTATTTCCGTTGCTTGAGGGTTATGTTAAATAAATCAGCACAAAAACGACCAAAATATTACATTTAATTTTTGACCGGGGAACAACCGCGGCTCTCTGTTAAGAGCGGAATAGCTCGTACGCTGGCGCTTTCTGCAAAGCATAAAGCGTCTTAACACATATATAGTTCACTGGTGTTATAGAGAATCCGGACAGTACTATCCGGACAAAACGCATTAAACTTTAACTTTAAATGCGTTTTTTCTCAAATTGCGTTGACACTCGATGAAAAACCATGGAGACAAAATTTGCTTAGAATTTCAGCAGAATTAATATGGTGCTCTTTGTTAGACAAAATTTAAGCCCTAAATTTTACCCCAAAAAGGGATCCTTTTTACTTTTTTACATCAATCAAAAATTACGCCATAACTCACACGTTGATCACTAACATAAGTATATCAAAGTGAGCCTCTTAAGTAGAACACTTGAGTTTCCTGAAATTTGATATATATTAACAAACATTATTCAAAGTTTACAAGCAGTGTATTTTGTACAAACTGAATATTTTTAACACAAAGACTGGACTATCGAACAGTTAATTTCTTTTGTTAAAAGGAAGCCAAACTCCGCTATCGAACAAAAAAAGTGTCAAGGTCACGAAAAACGCGATCGACTTCTAGTATCGAAAAAGGCATTTATTTTTCAGACTTCCCAGCGAAATAAAACATTTACATACTAATCCAGTTTTCTCAACTTAGGTTTCTTTTACCAATGAAAAAAGTATTAGCTATGAAGGTTCTCGAATCCCGTAATGAAAAAAAAGGATATATTTGCATATATTTTTGTATCACAAGCAGTGCGAGGCTCTGGCTCCCATGTAATTTAGTTTTGAGACTTGCTGTAATTTTCATTTCGTTTATAGGAGAAGCAGCCGTTTGTAATTGTCGAGCCCACCGAGACAGTCCGTAGCAGCAGCACCCGACGTCATATAGACTGGAAACAGGTGTCCATTTTACATGGAAACAGACGGACTCCCTTTGACTGCTTCCAAAGCTACATGAGCAGATTAGTCTCGGCCAGGGGCTGGACTCCGACTGAGATAAAACTGCTGAAGAGAGTCGTCAATACATTTCAGTTCGGAAACAAGGTAAATAGATGAGACACTTAATTTTTTTTTAAGAGTCGATGAACATAGTTCGGACTCTTATTTAGGTCGTGATGACTTTTTTCGCAGTTTGACTTTTGATTGTTTTTCAGTACAGTTCATTTCTTTTGTTAAAAGGAAGGCAAACTTCCTGGTTGAACAGCAAAATATTAAAGGTCACGAAAAACGCGATCGACGTCTAGCTATCAAAATGGATCTTAAATTTCCCAGCGGAATGAAAAAAGTTACCTAATGATACAGTTTTCTCAAATTGGGCTACTTTTATCAGAAAAGTGTCAATCATAAATTTTTTCTGAAATTAAAATATCTTTAAGGCCATATACTTCTAAGAGTCGTTGAACGTAGTGAACACTTTTATATAGGTCGTTTTGATTTTTTTCAGAAAATTGTTCCAATATTTCACGCTTAATTTGATTTCTCTCGATTCGATTTTTGACTTCGTTTTAAATGCAGTTAATTTTCTTTGTTGACCGAAAAGTGAATTCCATTATCGAACAGCAAAAGTGTATAGATCATGAAAAACGTCATTGTCTTCTAATTTCGAAAGTGGATTTTAGTTTTAAGATTTCCCAGAGGAATAAAAACTTTACTTATTGATCCAATGTTCTCAAATTGAGCTTATTTTATGAAAGTCTCAATTTTTCAAAGAAAATTTTTTTGAAATTGATTAAAGCGCTTTAAGGCCATAAATTTTTCAACAAGGATAGCCGGTTGCTGGGCTAATCTATTCTATTATATATTTAAATGCGGGCTTCACTATCTCGCCATGTTTAAGCCTTTTCAACGTATTATTTTTGCACGTTTAAGCTATATCGTATATTGCAATGGTTAACAATTTTTTTTCGATTTTCCAATTTGATTTTAGTGGTTATTTTACCGAGTTTAAATTAAGCAGCCCAATATCGGATTAGGGGTTGCCAATTTGGCCTCCAATTTTGAGTGCCCGAGTCATTTTAGTTAATGAGATAAGACGATTTTTGAAATTTTTTCAAAAATGTTCAGAAATTTCAAATAACAAAATAATTTACAAAACTTGAAGTTCCCACCCTGTAGTTGGGTGCTGTCAGAGTACTCTAAGGAGTTACAAATCTTGCTTCCAAATATGACTGTTCAAATCCTTGTAGTTTTTGAGATCAGTAGCGCATTGTGACGTTTTTTGTGATTTTTCAGAAAACTTATATTAATTTTTTTTTCGCAAAATCTGAAATTCTCAACCCTGTAGTTGGGTACTGTCCGAGTATTCTCAAAGATTGCGAATCTTGCCTCCAAATATGACTGCTCAAATCTTAGTAGTTTTCGAGATGTGATATTTTTTGTGATTTTTTCAAAAATTTTCAGAAAATTTTATTTAATTATTTCTCAAAATTTGAAATTCTCAATCTTGTAGTTGGGTGCTGTCAGAGTACTGTAAGGAGTTACAATTTTTACCTCCAAATATGACAGTTTAAATCTTTGTGGTTTTCGAGATATGACGTTTTTTTGTAATTTTTCAAAAAAAAATATCAGAAAACTTATCAATTTTTTTTCGTAAAATCTGAAATTCCCAACCCTGTAGTTGGGTCCTGTCCGAGTATTCTTAAAGATTGCGAATCTTGCCTCCAAATATGACTGCTCAATTCTTAGTAGTTTTCGAGATATGATATTTTTTGTGATTTTTTCAAAAAATTTTCAGAAAATTTTATTTAATTATTTCTCAAAATTTGAAATTCTCAATCTTGTAGTTGGGTGCTGTCAGAGTACTGTAAGGAGTTACCATTTTTGCCTCCAAATATGACAGTTTAAATCTTTGTGGTTTTCGAGATATGACGTTTTTTTGTAATTTTTCAAAAAAAAATTTCAGAAAACTTATCAATTTTTTTTTCGTAAAATCTGAAATTCCCAACCCTGTAGTTGGGTCCTGTCCGAGTATTCTCAAAGATTGCGAATCTTGCCTCCAAATATGACTGCTCAATTCTCAGTAGTTTTCGAGATATGATATTTTTTGTGTTTTTTCAACAATTTTCAAAAATTTTATTTAATTATTTCTCAAAACTTGAAGTTCCCACCCTGTAGTTGGGTGCTGTCAGAGTACTCTAAAGAGTTAAAAATCTTGCTTCCAAATATGACTGTTCAAATCCTTGTAGTTTTTGAGATCAGTAGCGCATTGTGACGTTTTTTGTGATTTTTCAGAAAACTTATCAATTTTTTTTCGTAAAATCTGAAATTCCCAACCCTGTAGTTGGGTCCTGTCAGAGTAATCTCCAAGATTGCGAATCTTGCCTCCAAGTATGACTGCTCAATTCTTTGTAGTTTTCGAGAAATGACGTTTTTTGTGATTTTTCCAAAAGTTTTCTGAAAACTTCAGAAAGTTTAATTAATTATTTTAAAATTTGAAATTTCCAACGCTATAGTTCGGTGTTGTCAGGGTACTCTAAAGAGTTGCAAATCTTGCCACAAGCGAATGCTAAACGCAACTGCTCTAATGCTTTTAGTTTCCGAGATCTGACGTTTTTTGACTTTTTCAAAATTTCTCGAAGAACTTATCTACAAAGAAATTCAAAAAATTTGAAAATACTAATTTGATGAAGATACAACCTTATTGTCAGCGTACACCCAGGCGTCTCAAATTTTGCCTCTCAGTATGAATGCTCAAATCCTTTTAGTTTCCGAGATAAGACGTTTTTTTTCGGAAACTTAAGTTTAAAAAAATTCACAACGTTTTGGGATTCCTAACCCTATAATAGGGTGCTCTTAGTGGTTGCAAATCTGGCCTCCAAAGTTCTCCGGAGGCCCATTAAGTTTTCGAGATGACGCTTTTAAAATGGGAACTAAAAAAATGTAAAAGTTCGAAATTACCAACCCTGTAATTGGGTGCAGTCAGAGTACACTAAAAGTTTGCAGATGTTGTTTCCAATATATGCGGTTTTTCATGAGCTGTCGTAAAATTTCGAAGCACCGAAGGTGCGTTAAACGCTAGTAGCACTGAATGTTCCGGTTATATCCATAAAAAACCACAAAAAAGGTTTTCATTTTTTTCAATTGGTGTGATTTGTACGTATATGGAGTGATGAGAGAACTATAAGAATACTTAGAACATTAGAAAAAAAAATCCGATTTTCTGAAGAATATTTTGATATTTTAGAAATTTTTTATTGTCAAGGAAGCACGAAATGAATCTTCCCCAACCAGTTTTTCCGGAGTTAAACTAAATTATAGTTCGTTATAGAGCGTAGTGTAATAGTAGGAAGCTAATTTTTCCAATCAAAGTCTTAAATTAAAGTGATAATTTGGTGGCACTTTTGCTATAATCACAATCTCTTGCATTGAAATTTAATAGCATCTTTTCTCCGCTTAATTGGTGGCTAGTTTTGCCTATCGTCAAGCGATCGGGCACTTAGGGAAGGATGCGAGTCTCCTAATCAACTGGTCGGAGTTTCAATGCCGCACTTAGCATTAGGTTTGATTTGATTTTTTTTTCGTTGAAGCAATGTTAATTGAAAGTCGTTCTTGAGTTTGTAAATATATCAATTCATTTATATATTTTTTTTGCTCTCTTGTTTGTCCTATGTTACATTAGCGTATATTTCGTCGTTTGAAGGAAAATCGAGTGTTATGCTTTTGTATGTTGTAAGGAGGGATGGGGCATAAAACTTTCTTGATAATTTTGTTTTTGGCTCAATGAGGTTTTACCAAAGTTTTGCCGTCTTAATTGCCGACAAAACTATGCAATAATTCGTGTTGTAATGCAAGTGTTGTGAAGCTACGCTTCGCCTCTGTTTTTAAAAACCATTATTACCTAGCCAGCAGCGTAGTGTCTTAGTACGAGCCTTCTTGTTTTTCTAACCTAACTGCAAATAGAAGTGTTCATTCAAAGTGTTCGCTTATTTGGCGGCACTTCTGCTTCGCCTCTGTGTATAATTTGGCATATTGGTTTTTCCCAGGGATATATTTGGTTCCGGTTTTGCAATCCTGTGATCCGGCCAAACTTATGATTTGGTTCGGAGTCCGGAATCTGCAACAGTTTCCTGGGTCTGTCAAACTTAATAATCCTATCTTTTTTCTAGATATCGTGGAGCAAGATCGCCGACTTCTTCGACGGGCGTTCTCCCCATGAGTGTAGTGAGAGGTGGCGACGCATGAGCAGCTACGCCCTCAGACTGGGTAGGTGGTCGCCGGATGAGGACATACTGTTGCTCAAAGTTAGTCTCATCTTCTGGTTTTTTAACACAACACACGTCAAACAGCATCTTCTAAACTGGCATGACAATAGAATGAGTATAGGGGGGGGGGGGGGCTATTGCGCGAAGGGCCGAATGCGCGAAAAGTCTCAGTCAATCCAATCTATAAAATTATGGCGAACTTGCATCGAATTTATGAATAGGGGATTCTGATTGGCTGTCAACATTTTCGCGAATTGGGTTCTTTTACAACAATAAGGGTTCTTTTAGAACACCCTTGAGTATAGTTTATTGAAAATACGTAACTATATGCATAAGTGAATCTACTTTACAGTACTTGGGCAAATAGTTAAGTGTAAAATTTTAAAAGTTCGATGAATTTGATATGGCACCTAGAAAATTTTTTCTATGGCATCAATTTTGGTATCTTTTTCTTTATTTTCAAAAGCATGCATGACGTCCATATTTGAGTTTTTAAAATTGGTTGTTTTAGTTGGTTCCATCTCTCATTTTAGAACGCTGTGAAGGACAGTGATGTAATTTAAGCTTAATTTGTCAAGGACTCCGTTTACTTTTAGGCGGTTGAAAAGTTTGGGATTGGGATGTGGATCCAAATATCTCGCGAGGTTCCTCTTAGGACCGACCAGCAATGCAGGGAAAGATACATGTTCCAATTGAGTGGAAATTACGTCAAAGAATCCTGGACGAAAGCGGCGGATGAAACGTTAATCGACCTCATGTTGAAACATGGACCAACTGCGGACTGTGCTATCATAGCTGAAAAGACGTTAAAGAAACAGCGCAAAGAGATTTACAGAAGGTTCCGATATCTTTTGGAGAATCAAAGAAAAGGTACCGAAGCCAGTCACCGGAAAACTGTTCGAAGGACGCAGTTGACAGAAACGGCCGATAGACTGCGTGAACAAAATATGACAGATCAGATTATAGCAATCCATCAAAACTTGGTCAATAATTCCAGTGAAAATAAACAAAATACCCCTAAACCTTCGAAATTGATCAAAAAACCTGCCTCGTTGATTCACAATAAAGTTACGAAGCATTTAAAGTTAGGCGATAAGTTAAAAATGTTAGAACCTGAAATGATTGACGCGCAGTTCCTAAAATCAGAATTCAAGAAAAACTTACCAAAATATAAACATCCACCAATATTTTACAGTACTTCTAGATTAGAAAAGCTAGATCATTATTTGGACGAAATAATATTTAGAAATTGTTTACCGAAACATTCGACAAGTTTTACGCTGAGTCCGAACTTGGAAAATCCCGAAGAAAGTGAAACGAAAGAACCGAAAGAAAAAGAACTCGCTGGGCTGATGACGCAGTTGATCACACTTCTAAAAATTGACTACTTAGGTGCTTGGAAAATTCTAAAATTAAAAAGTAGCCCCGAATTCAGAGAATCAATAACTTCGTTGAGTATAGCCAAAGACCCAAATGAAAAAGAGCGAATATTGAACCCGAAACTGTTTCTGAATAATGCCCGAAAACTGATGGAAGAGGGCCATCTTATTGTGAAGGAGTGCTTCAAAGATAAACTTCATTATTTATATGAGTTGAGGTCAAATCCAATAGTTCAAAGTGTTGTAAAGGAAGTCGCTGAGAAAACTCACTCGCCTCCCAAAGGACCGATTGTTCGTACTCAAATTGTTCAATATCCTACATGTGTCGTGCTCCCAACACCAGGAGCATATGAAGATGACGCTTCAAGTGAGATTTTTGGATCCGAACAACTTGATGAATACGAAGAAAAAACGGTCGATGAGTTAATTGAATGTTTAGAAGATGAAGAACCGGGAACAATGAACTTTGATCTTTTCACTACTGATAATGAAAATTCGCCATCAAAAAAGGCTAGAAACTTTGAATCCCCACTTAAATCCAAAACTGGCAACGACATGTTAATTGAGCAAAACGGCCAGCAAGGTGATAACATAAGCCATTTTTTGACAGCGAAGTCTGGAAAACTTGAGGGATTTGACCAAGATATGAAGGTGAAAGAATTGATAAAGAAATTTCCAATCAGACGTGCTGATGATCCTTCTGATGATATTTCTCGGGACTTTTTCATCGAGAATTATGGATTTAAAATCATACCAGGAGAGACGTCTCAGTATATAAGAGTTCTTCTTGAAGGTAACTCTTTTTTTTCCACCATCATTCAGCGTGACCTTATGTGGCAGCTTGTAAACGTAGATACAAATAAAGGTAAACGAACTCTTGCAATACCTATAGCAAGTGTACCCTTTGAAGTTAATGACGGTGGAAAAGAGATACATTTTCTGCCCGAAGCAGGAGCGTCGCAGACGTTTGAGCTTCCGGTTTTTGAGAAGTTGGAGAAATCGCCACTACCGATGTCTGATCTAATTGAAAAGTATCGGGCTCAGAAGGCGTTGGAGCAAGCGAACACCTTACTCGAAAGTGCAATTGGCAGAACGTTTATGACAACGGACGAGAAAATCAAGTTTCAGGACTGGGTTCGAGACATGCCTCAAGATAACAACCTCGAGAACTTGACTGTTCCTTTAGTTGCTCCTAATAAGGCAGTTTTGGATTTGTGGAAAAGGCTAGATTCTCAAAGTGCGAATTTATTGTGCAAAGGTCTCGTGTGTTACAAACACGCGAGGTCAAATCGAACGATGATGAAAGTAGCTCGCAAGATGTTTGAACAGAACACGGATCCATTCAAGTATAAAATGGCAGAAATTGCATTCCAATTAGGCGTTTATTTCACAGTGGATAAATCGAAAACCATGTCGACAGTGCACAAGCTGTTGTATCAGCCTATCAGAAATGTAAGTTATTTTCTTCATTACGGAATTTTCTCTCACTTCAAGCAATTTTCTCCCACTCACTTCTCTCACTTCAAGCTATGTATACTTTGTTATGTTTAAAAAAGAACGCAAAATTAACAGATGAGCAAGTTGTTAATAGTTTCTAAATTTCTTTGAAAATTATGTGATTGTTCTATGTAGACTGTAACTAAGTAAAATAAATGGAAGATTTAGCATGAAAATTTTCCAATTGTGAAGGGTTAGATCTAGGATTTATTCTAGGGGTATTTTGAAAACATTTTCGAAACATTTGTCTACCTTTTTTTAGGTCGTCCAAATTGATTTGCTATATGATGTTTTGTGTATTTTATTATTTACTTATGTTTAGGTTCCTGAGTTCGCTTCTTTAGAGACCATTTGGCAGAAAGCCCTATTAGAAGATAACGACGAACTTATCAAATTGCACGAGAAGTTATTTGAGCAGTCGGACAAAATGCAAAGTATCTTGGATGAAATTAAAGCTACTGCAGTGTACCAATTGTTTAGAAGTAGACTCTACGCTCTGTTGTTGTTTCCTAAAGCGATGTCTGAGGCGGGACCGAGGGAGATTGGAAAAGAAACGTCTGGAGAAGTGAACAATAACGCTAGTAAAAGTATGTGTAATGCTGTTCCTTCTATAGACTACCGTAGCTTGAAAAATGAAACCCAGTTTATTGCATTGTTTCATTGACCAGGGTTCGAAACCCGGTGTTTCCCTTGCTATTTTTCAAGACTATTTTTTTAAATAGTCTGTTGCTGCTGTTTTTTTGCAGTTTTGACACTCGAGTACGCGCAGTGCAACTTAGCCTTCGTGTTTCAAAAAAAGTTTTTCCACTAACTAAAAAAGATCGGTTTCTCTCCTTTCTAGAATTTTAATAAACAGTTCATTTATTGCGAGCGTGTTTTGACTTATTTCACATACTGAATGGTTTAAGTTTCACCCTGACTTTTAAATATTCCGAATTGGTGTGTAGTTTCTAGGCTACTCCTAGTTTCTGGTCTTTGCGTTAATCATTTTCTGCATCATTGCTTGTTTTTGTTTCAGAGAATGAGCAAATAAGTCTCAGTTTATACAAACACTTCACGCGAAAAAGATGCAATAAGCCACAGGACTCGTGGTTCCACGACAAGGAACCCGATGACTCCGACTTCGAAGCGCTGCGTCGATTGCAGCGGGAACTCCAATCGGATCTGGCGGTAACCGAGCGTCAACAAGACTCCTCAGATTTGAACCGAATCGATGGCGAAGAAGCGGAAACTACAGATACTTATTCATCAATTGGACAAAATGTGCCAGAAACAAATCTAACAGAGATCGATGCGGTAGAAACCGGATACATGACAGATCATATTGCAACTGATTCACTCACGGCAGAACCTAGTGTAATAACCTCAGATAGTATAACCGAACCAGATACAACTGAAATCGAGATTGAATCGGAATCGGAAGGTGTAGAACTTCCCAGAGTAGTGATGTTGAATGATATGGATGGCTCAAATAATATTTTTGACAATTCTGCAGTGAAAACAGAAGTTAACTGTGTTTTAAAGCAATACAGAAACGTTACCGAAATCACAGAGGCAAATAATGAGAGTAAGATAATATCATCAGATGCTGTGGCGTCTAATGGAAGCAAAAGTCGCAAACGACCTGCAAGACCATGTTTGGGAAGTATGGAATCGAAAAGTAAGAAAATATGTCCCGACCTTGCTGCTGAAAGCCAAATAGATGATGCATTAACAAGCAATACTGTACTTGATCTTTAGTTTTAGACAGTCTTCATTCCTGATAAACTTGTATTTAAAAATTGTGTTTTGCGCTGATTTTGAATTGTAGATATTGAATTCTTTTGAATTCGTAAATTTTGTTAATTTATGATATTCCTAAACCATTGCGTGTCAGATTATTAAAGTTGATCAGAAAAGCATTTTGTATTTCAATTTCCGATGCTAGTAGAATTTGCTAAAGAAAGGTTGATAAACTCCTTAGGCCGGTTTGAGAATATTGATGTTTAAATACGCATCGCATCATACATGAAATTTTCTTGAAAGTAACAAGAAATAGTCTAAAAACAGCTTCAAGCAATTTGACCCTATCGTTTCATTTATATTTTCTGAACCACGAAAGTGTCGAAAAAATCTGGATGTGATATATCAAATAAAAGCTCTTTCAGTTGTGATTCGAACTGAAATGAGAGGCATGAAAAATTTTGGTTTTATATATAAAATAGTTTTCAGGTTCCTTTTAAGAGTCGATGAGCGTAGTTCAGACTCTTGAATAGGTCGTCATGTTTTTTTCTTCTTTTTTAAGAAAAGTCTTGAAAGTTGTTCAGGCTCAAATTTATTTTTCGCGGCTTTTTGACTTCTGGTTTCTTTTTAAATTGACTTCTTTCCATTTATTAAAAGAAGGGCAAACTCAGCTATTGAACAGCAAAAAAGTAAAGGCCAGGAAAAACGTGATCGACTTCTAGTTTTAAAAGCGGAATTTAATTTTCAGATTTCCCAGTGAAATAAAAATTTTACTGATTGATCAAATTGGGCTTAATTTATCGAAAAACTGTCAATCATAATTTAATCTAAAAATTCAAAGAGCTCTAGGGCCATATATTTTTTTCGCAACAAGTCAATTTTTTTTGTTTGCGTTAATTGGCTTCTTTTCAGCTGTCTGTTGGCTATGTTTATTTTCTCAGCCGCTTATGCACACCCCTTCCACTGTTTTTCCATCTTCATCTTTCTAACTACTAAATTCTCTAAACTTGCAAATAAATTTACCATTGTCCTCTAACCTTCCCCCTTACTGAAAAACTTTTTAACTGAAAAAAATTTTTCAGATATGTTATATGATTGATCTTTGTAACTTTTCAATTGGCAGCAGAATGACAACTGTCTATTTGTGACATGGCTACTGTGCGAGATATTACTTTTGAGTGGCTGGACGATGACAAGACTTGGAAGACTTATGACCAGAAGATCCAGCTTGACCTCGTGACATCTGCTTTGAAGGGATACCAGAAATGTCAGGTGAAGGTGCCTCCTCGGAGTTCTCTCGTCGAAGTTAATTTCGATAGAATGACGCAGACTAATGTGAAGACTAAGTGGGAGCGGCTTATTCGGTGTTGCATCAAAGTAAGAATGCTAACTAAATGTGTTAATGATCAATGTGATTTGTTAATTAATAAGGATTTGAGGTAAACGTTTCAACCACCCCTAGTCGGTACTTCAAAGAGCGGTCATTGGGTATCAAGTGTGATAGCATATAAGAGTCGGTTCAGTCGTGACTGAGATTCTTGTTGTCTTATCTTTTTGAGAAAAAGTTGTCTGAATATTTTAATTGGGATTGGATATGTTGTTAATCCAATGCGTTTCAGTCAGTTTTGACCGTATAGAGGCTTTTTAAGAGTGATGAAGGTAATGGAGATTATTATATAGGTATTGGTGTTTAATCAGGAAAGTTTTAAAATGCTGTAATAACGTAAGTGTTTAAAATGCTGTAATAATGTAAGGTGTCAAGTCAATGAAGAAGTGTCAATGTCATGGTGTAAAGAAGAATCTTTAATTTGTTTTATTTTTTTAGGAAAAAGTTTGAAAATTTAGAGTTTTGACTGAAGATTTTATGGCCAATTTAAACTCTAAATGGAAGGCACACGACGAAAATGGAAATGGTGCAAAAAACGTGAATTACTTAAGTTTCAAAACTGGCTTTTAGTATCCAGGTGTTTCTCAATTTGGGTTAGTTTTATCAAAAACTGTAAACCGTACAAGATTTTGTCAACACAATTTAATACTAAATATTTTTTCGAAAGCTCAAGTTATCAGAAAACAATTCAATCGTTTTTGTTCAAACTCCTTGCTTTCATTGAACGATGTAAAGATACTTTTAAGTTTCTGTGGTTTTTGTCAGGATAAAGTCAAAAATATTGTCGCTTCAGTTCGTTTCGCGGTTTGACCCTCGATAGACCTTTTTATAGTTCATTTACCTGGAGGTGGGCAATTTACGATCTCCAAGGGAAAAGGACATATTCAAGTGCATACGCGATTGAATTTTGTGTCATAATTGGATTTTAGTTTTTGGATTTCACAGTGGAATATCAAGTTTTTTTTGTTTAATATTTTTTTCGAAGAAAACTGAATATTTATGCTCGGTATGGTTTTTTATTCAGTCAATTATCGCCGATCGAAATAATAGTTTTCAACAAAAATTTTTTACACCCCAATGAAGATATTGACTTTCTAAGGGCAACATTTATGTGGACCAATGGTCTCGTTAGTTGTCCATTCCGATGATAAATGCATTGATGAAATTACTTTTGTTTTGCTAATGACTATATTTATCAATCGGAAAAATAAATTCTTTCTTTCTTTTCTTTCTTTGAGTTTTTGTAAAGTTCTGGGGGTTTGAAAATTGCCAAATTGGCCATTTTCTGGACTAAACTATGTGCGGTTTGAAGAGTTTTTTCAACAAAATCGTTCCAAATTGAATTGAGGCTAGGACTTTTTTTAGATAGCCAAATAAGACTAAATATCAGTTTTTTGTTTGAAGGACGAAAATGAAGAGAATGCTTGGAATTGTTGGGAGTGGGAAAACGAGTCCAAGTTCTTCACGCCCTACTCCGTCAAAATCAGCCTTCAAATGGAAAACCAGTTTTTGACAGACAAAAAAGTCAAAATCATTTTGAATGATACGAGTTATGAGGCGGATTTGGATAACATGGTTCAAACTAACATTAAAACTGGGTTTCTTCGAAATATCAGAAGAGTGAAAACTGATAATGACCTCGAAATTGTTCTAGACGCTTCAAGTATTAAATTGGAACCAAAAACTGAGCCTGAAAATGATGTTGACTTGAAAGAAAACCTGGCAAGTTCAAAATCAGGTGGCGTTGGTGGTTCTAAACGTGGGCGAAAACGAAAAACCGATATCGATAATGACGCCGATAACAACAACGAAGAAATTGATTATATAGACGACGATTTGAAAGCCGAGAAGAGAACGAAAAGCAACAAATCAGTCGGCGGAACGCTCAGTTCGGGTACTAAGAAGTTAGTCTTCAGTGGAAAAGTCCCAGTTGACGACGAGTGTGAACAAAAGAAAAATTCAGCTCATGTTTTGGTCGAAACTAACGGAGCAATTTGGGATGCAATGTTGAATCTAACTAACGTTGGAAACAATAATAACAAATACTATTTGCTGCAGTTGTTGGAAGACAACAGTTCCAAGAACTACCATGTTTGGTTTAGATGGGGTCGAGTTGGGTATAAAGGTCAAAATAATCTTCAGTCTTTTGGACTTGATTTGGATAAAGCGAAGGAAGTGTTCACAAAAAAATTTTCGGATAAAACGTGTAATGAATGGTCTGAAAGAAAAAATTTTGAAAAACATGCTGGAAAATATGACTTGGTTGCTATCGATTTTGGAAATTCGCCCTCAAAAGTTAAACAAGAAGAAACAAGCAATAACAATACAGTGAAAAAAGAAACGATTCCGAGTAAATTGGACAAGAAAGTATACGATTTGATGGAAACTATCTGCAGCATTACGGCAATGGAAAACACGGTTAAAGAATTAGAGTATGATTTAAGCAAGGCACCCTTAGGAAAATTGACAACGGCGCAGATAAAAGCGGGTTATGCCGCTGTAGACAACATTTCGAAACTGATTGATAAAAAAGTTACTTATGGATCCAAATTATCGGAGGCGTGTAGTCAGTTTTATACTAGAATTCCTCACGCGTTTGGCTTCAAAGTTCCGCCATTAATAAATTCCATAGATATGGTTAAAGAAAAGTTAGATCTACTTGACGCTTTGGCTCAAATTGAAATCGCGATGAATATTATCAAATCGGAAGGCGGCGATGATCAAAATCCTGTTGATTATCATTACGAAGCTTTAACATGTGAAATTTCTCACGTTGACAAAAACGAGAAAATTTTCGAAGTCATTGAAAAATATCTTCAAAACACACATGCTAGTACACATAATACATACAAGATGGAGGTTGCTGATGTTTTTTGTCTGGACAAAGATGCAGAAAAGTCAAAATTTGCTGAAGATATTGGCAACAGACACTTGCTCTGGCACGGGTCTAGGTTGAGTAATATTGTGGGTATTTTGAGCAATGGGCTCAAAATAGCCCCTCCTGAAGCGCCTGTGACGGGGTACATGTTCGGAAAAGGCGTTTATTTTGCGGATATGTCATCTAAAAGTGCTAATTACTGTTTCCCGAGCCCAGCGAACACGACTGGGTTTGTTTTGCTGTGTGATGTTGCTCTTGGAAACTGTCATCCTCTGGTCAACGCCGATTATCAGGTATTTTAAATATGAACTTTGTCTTCGAGTGTATTTAAGTGTTCTTTTTTAAAAAATTTTCCTCGCAAAAAAAGTGCAACAAAGAATCATCGGAATGCTTCAGTTTAAAACCCTTCAAATCGTGATTCGAATGACATTTAAGAATTTCGAAAAAAATTTCAGTGTCGAAAAAAAAACTGGTTCAAGCGAATAAAGCGAGCGAACAGGCTTGCTTAGTGTAAGACGATAGACTTGAAAATTCTGTTTTAGTCTGAAAATAGTTTTACAGTTTCTTTTAGCGCCTTCATGGGAATAAACTGTTTAAAAAAATGATAATTAAATTTTTCGAATTTTGAGAGCTTCAACGTAATATATATTTTTTCGGTTTAAAATTCATTTTGTTGAAAAATAATTTTGTCGACCTTTCTTCTTCACAGAACACTATAATATTTTGACGAACCCCTATTTTGAAAAAAATTTGCACCACAGGCAATTTTTTGACAAACAACTGGTCAAAATGCTGTTCTTGGGAATTTTTCGGATAATTTTGACCAGAAATTGCGTTTTTTCGTCGTACTCCCTTCGAACTTAGTATATATTGGAGCCT